GTGTTCAGAGAGGGACAGTCAGTGATTATTTCAGTCTGCTTCCATCTGTGTTCCCCAGGAGAGAACCTGATGCCTTTCAGGAGTTGTCAGCCCTGGAGGCCCAGGGACACCTCAAGGGATCCGGGGGCAGGGTGCGGGGGTAGGAGGCAGAGAAAGTGCTTCCCTCGGATGGTCCTGTGCTGCTGAGCTGGACTGGTCTCCTGGGATTGAGGGAGCTCATGGCAACAGGACAGCACTGCAGAGAGACAGCTCTGCCCAGGAGCAGCTCCTCTGCAAAGCCCAGCAGGGCTGAGGGCACTGCCTGCAGGCTCCGAGGGGAGGGGAGCAGGGCAGAGAGATGATAAAGGAAGTCTGCAGTGGGAGGGTGCTGAGAGATATCGGGGAGAGAAATCTTCACAGCCCTTGACGTGGTAAGTCTCTGGCAGCAGGGCAAAGAAGCTGCAGTTCCTGAAGAGATCTCCAAAAGCTGGCCTATGGGAGCTGTCAGGTGGACTCTCACAACTTGTCTAGTGTGGAGAAGGAGGACATGCTCCAAAGCAGGACTTCCCTGCCACATCATCATAGACACAGGGCAGGATGGCTGCTTTCTCCCAGGAATGATCGAAGGGGTGTGAAGGTGGGTGTTCAGGCAGGGTTGCCCAGAACTCTCCTTCAGAGCAGGGTCCCTGCATCTCAGGGTCTGTGTGCTGGGGAAGGGACTCTCCCTCCTGCCAGGGTCAGCACTCAGTCTATCCAGGAAGCGCTCCACATCTCTGCAGTAAGAAGTTGTGGGTGGAAGGATTAATCCATTGCCAGGGAAAGGTCCTTTTGCTATTTAGAGGATGACCCATGCGTCAGGGCTGCTCACAGCTCGCAATCACTACCAGGCATATCCGAGGGGACTTCTCAAGATGGAGATCCCTGAAAGAGAAGGTGTCTCTCTGTTGAGGTTTCTCATCTCGGTTGGCTGGACAAGCAGTGGAACATTTCCAAGGGGACTTTTCAAGGGAAAGGTCAAAGAAGGGATTACTGTAGGGATAAGGAACTTTCCTGAGTCTGTGCTTCCAGTTTCCTTCTGTGGAGGCTACAGACAGCACCAGCATCTGCTTTCCAGTCTCATCAGACTTTGTGGGACCTGCTCGTTAGCCCCTGCACACACAGAGAGGCTGCAGGGCAGAGCTGGGCGCAGACGGGCTGAGATGGGGTCTGTGAGCACTGGCAGAGACGTGGGGTCAGAGAAACAGCTCCTGGCAGGGACAGCTCCAGGTATCAGACATGAGCAGGTTAGTGAGGAACTCTAATGGAAACCCTGTTGCAGGGGTCATATGGGCACCTCCTGGCCACCCCTGCCATGCAGATGGCTTCCCTGAGGAACTCCCTTCATCTCTCCTCCTCCACACAGCACAGCCCTTGGACCATGCGACCATGGGTTCTAGAATGTGATTCGCCTCTCTGTCCAGAAGAAGAGGTGAAGGGCATCCTCCAGCCACATGCTCATATCCTGAGGGCAACTGACCTGCGTTGTTACTGTGTGGCTGGTGGTGTGCACAGCTAGGTAAGGATCACATTCAGCCACTCCCTCAATGTATTTTTTGTTGTTTTTCCACTTGTCTCTATTACTGTTGTTGTAACATTGTTCTTGGTGTCAGGCTCTCTGGGGATGGGAGTTTCATCTGCGGTCACACACGGTTACTGTGGGTGCTTTCATGCAGATGTGTCCACAGGAACAAGTGTCCCAGTTTTCCTCTGTCCTGTAGGGCTGTGGGTGATGCAGTCTGTGAGGCTGGAGACTGAGCTGGTTATCCCTTAATCAGATGCTGTCATTCAGACACTTGACTGTCGCCTTGCAGTGTCTTTCTGAGTTGTGAGGTGCCCTGCAGAAGGCAAACCTGTCCAGTAGCACCATTGTGTTATCTGAAAGCCCCATGGAGAAATGCAGAGATGCCACACTGAGGAAATGCTTTTGGGTTTGTGAAATGTCTCATGTGTGTCCTTCGCTAGAAGTGGGGTGCTGAGACCTTGAGAAAGGGTGAGAACTTTCAGAGCTCTGCAGTGGATCCCCCTGTTCTCATCAGTGTCTGGTGGCTTTTCAGCGTCATAAAAGGTTATGATTGCACTCTGTCTCATGAAGGTGCAAGCCCAAAGCTTCTGGGAGAAGGCAGATGGACAGACCAGCTCCCTCACTCTGCTCTAAACATGGGGAACCATCTTGCCTTGCAGGACTCTTTTCTCCCTGGCTGCAGTGGAAGTGTTGAGCATTTCTGACATCCAAGAACACTCCCCAGCTGAGATGGGGGAGGCTTTAAAAGACCCCAAATATCTCAAACTAGCTTCTACTGTCCTGGTTCCTTACCACTGGGAGTGCAGATGCTGACAGGCCCTTTCACATTACAGGTGGCTTCATCTGACACCGTGCTGAAGTGGGAGGGTCCAGGAGAAATGGTTCTGATTTTGCTCAAAGAAGTCTCCCCTTACTTGTCATTGACTCTTCCTGTAAGGACAGAAACACATGAACAGAGGAAGCAAATGATCAACGGCAGCTCCATCACTGAGTTCCTTCTCCTGGCATTCACAGACACATGGGAGCTGCAGCTCTTGCACTTCTGGCTCTTCCTGGGCATCTACCTGGCTGCCCTCCTGGGCAATGGCC